ATGCCAAAGGGACCTGGAGAACAGACACCTTGGAGCCTCAAGGAGAGAGCCAATGCTATGGAGAATTTAGTGTAGTCCAGGAAGACATCTGAGTGTGCCATGCTACACTATAAAGTCTCATCTTTGAAGTTTTGGCAAATGATTCCGCATGCAGAATTAATGACAATAAGGTAGTAATGGGTTGCTCAGTAAGTCACCCTAGCACTGTGCCACCAATACAACTTTCAGGACGACTTTTCTTTCATGAATAAGACAAAATGCCCAACACAAATCTGCAAGGGAAACAGGTTTATTTAACTCAAAATTTGCACAGATTTCAGTCCATAACTGACCGATTTCCAGGCAGGGTGGCCTGGTAGAGAGACATTGCAGAGGGCAAACGGTTCATGTCAGGGAGAAAACAACAAAACTGGACAAGGGTAAACCATGGCACTTTCTATCCCTTTATTTTATCCAGGTTACACAGAACAGGAATCACTCACACCCTTAATCTGAAAGCCTATCATCTTAGAATTGCACCATGAATCAATCTCAGTGTCACACATTCTAAATCCAGGCTCCTCTGAAAAAGCCACGTTTAAGACTGCATGAGGCTTTGGAAGAACATTTAGACACATATAATGACAACAATATTCTCAGTTTTGTGCAATACCTAATTTCAAACTGAGCACACTTTGAAGCCCAGCCTGGAATTCTCTAGGCTGCCTGCTCTTTTTACATATATGCATTATGTTGTTCTTAATTTTTTAGTTGGGAACAGAAACCCAATGGAAGAGGGTTTTCTATTCCTGGTGTGTCAAACCAATGCAAGATAATAGAAGATACACCACAATAATTAGCAAGCACAAGTTAGAGATTCAAAGGTTTCTTTAACATCAATTTTACAATCATACACTCGACGTTTCAGTAAATGATTCAGCACATCTCTTACCTACCACAAAATATACATCTGTCCCATCCTCCATAGATGTGGTAAGAATGTTCAAGCATGAGACCCTGAGAAAAATGAGAAGAGAAAGGACCCATCACTCTAGAAAGACAAAGTATAAACTTTAGGCCCTGTGTAAGCAAAATGCTATGGAATGGAAAATAAACTTTACAATGTAAGGAAACTTTCACATTTACAATACACCCAATGACTAGTTTTGAGCAAAGAATTACAAAGAAAAAATAGGAACAATAACATATCATGCACTCCCAAAGAAATGAATTTTATGTAAAACAGTTTTGAACATCTTAGGCTTTGGACAGACTAACCAAACGTTTTAAATCCGCCCTCTTTAAAATGCTCAAAACACAGAAGAGAACTCACAAATAACTCAATGAAACCAGACAAGATGTATAAAAAAGTAAAGAATACTCCTAAAAACAAAAATATTTATTTCTGGAGCTTAAAAGCATGATAGTTGAAATGAAAAGTTCACTAACAAATTCCAACTATCTGAACAAAGAGAAGAAAAGAACTGGTAAATTTTTCATAAAATGAAATAACTCAGTGTGAGAAACGAAAGAAATAAAGAAATATGAACAAACCCTAGGGGTCATATAGGACATATTCAATATCATATGTAGCATATATATTTTTATCTTAATATATATATATATATGTATATATATATATATATATATATATATATATATATATATATCAGGTATATATAAAGAGAGAGACAATGGAAGTTCAAGATACTTAAGAAAGAAAGATAATTTCAAAATCAAAAACATTTCCAATAAACAATGACCCCTAACTTCCCAAATATGATGAAGTATAAGAATACACAAACCCAATGAGCTCAAAATTTCTAAGCAGGTTAAACTCAAAAGGGCACTTACTACAAGGAAACTGTTACAATACAAAGAGAAAATGTTCCAAAAGCAAAACAGAAGTGACTCATCCCAGAAAATGGTTCTCAATGAGACTAACAGTTGATATCACATCAGAAACCTTAAGGGCCAAAGGCACTGGGACCATCTCCTTACAGTGCAGAAAGAAAGTCCTGTTGCGCAGGATATATAGCTTAGTGGCACAGAGCCTGCCTGGCAAGTGCAGTGTATAAATTCAATCCTCAGTACCAAGAAAAAAGAAAAAGAAAAACTTCAACCAAGGATTGTACTTCTAGAGAATCTATCCTTCATCACTGGGCATTAAGTGAGGGGTGGTGGTAGATGCCTGCAGTCCCAAGACTCTGGAAGGCTGCTGCAGGAACCTAAAATCTAACCAAAGGAATTTAATAAATCTTGTCTCAAAGTAAAAACTAAAGAGAAAGGTAGGATGTAGCTGACTCTAAAGATCCTGAGTTCAACCTCAAGTACCACCAGTAACAATCAAACCAAAAACAGAATATATCCTGAATTTTTAAATGTGCCAGCCTATAAGAAATGCCACTGCAGTTTGGAGAGAACTGGTGAGTGAAAAACCCATGACATAAAAAACAAGTAACACAATGTCATAAAAAAAAAAAAAACCTTCATTATAAGTAATTCTTTTAAATGTAAATATTTGAAACTTTCCAAAGATTTAAAGAATGATTTTAGAAACATGATCCAGCCATACAATATTCAAAATAGAGAAGTGCATAGAGAAAAAAGATTAGCAGTGCAGTGAGCAGGATGATGAGAAAAAGGTTAATGGGGAGTAATCATTTAATATTTATACAACGTTTTGAGGTGCTAGCAATATTTTGAAAATCCAAATGCACATTTTGAATGCCATAAATTCTACTGAATTGTATGCTTGAGAGCAGTTACACATGTAACATGTTATCTTCCCCTCAGTTTTAAAAATGAGTCATAAATGTGTTTAGCATCATCCCTTGTTAAGTTTTTCAATGCAAATATTACACAAAAATGTATTAGATCATACTTCAAAACATTAAAGCTATGTATTAATGAGTGAAGAAAATCAGGTAATTTTAATTGTTTATGCCACTGAGCAAAGATAGGGAAGAGTTTAATTATTTACACTGTATGTTGCTTTTTTAGTTTACAACTTTAGAAATTTACTGCATATTAAATTTTAATAAGACTATGAAACAATTATTAAGGTAATACTGAGTAATTGGATATTTTAGATATGTATAAAATGTTTAAATTGTAAGATTAATTAAGATTGAGTACAATAGGAAGTAAATTACATTGTGTCTACAGCATTACACTGAGTTAATATGCTAAGCACATAAGTTTAATGGGCTGTATATAAGACTATGGAAATTAGTACAGTGATTCCTCAGAAAACTAAAAGTAAACTTCTACTCAGCCCACTTATCTCCCTTCTAAAGATAGCAGTTTCCCTATCTTCCTGAAAGTGTGAGAAACTTTATTACAGTAATATACTCATATCCATGTTCATAGAAGCACAACTCATAGCAGCTATAACTTAGAAGCACACTGTTTGTCTGTCCAGCAATAGATGCATTTTCAAAATGTGGCATTTAAACAATGGAGTACTACTCTTCTAAAAGCAGGATAAACATGAGTCACTGTAGAAAATGGTTGTACTTAGGACCAGGATGTTAAGTAAAATAAACAATCAACACAATATTAAATATCACACGGTTTCTCTTTTATAAGAAACCTAAAGTATAAATAAATTAAAGAGCCAAATAAAAGATACATAACAAGAAACAGTCATAGATTTTTTTCAGAGAAGAAGAGGACTAAGAGTTGTAAGGAGGGGAAAGAGAGCAGACAAGAAGAGGACAAGAAGAAATAAGATGCATTACATACAAAATTCCCACAAGTATAATCATTATGTAACACAAATATGTATAATAAAATTTTCAATTGTCTGGGGGAGATAAACAAATGCATGCCATTTTTTCTTCCAGCTCTCTGAATGCTATTAATGAATATGCATTATAATTACAGTCAGAAAGAAAATTTTGCCTTTTAATTATATACTACTGGGAAAATTCATTTAAAAACAAGCTCAGCTTTGATAAATGTTGATGGTCCTCTATTGAAAAGGAAGATACACCGGAATGTTTTCTTCTCAAGTGTAATACTCCTCATAGAAAAACATGTAAAACATGAACAGGAAGCTTAAATCACCAAATCAAATTGTTCAGACCTACAGCTGGCCCTTGAGCAACAGGGTTGCAGTGGATTCAAGCAGGCAGTCTTCAAAACAGGAACACTATGGCAGAAGGATTTCATGGAGCAAGGCAACTCTCAATTCTTATAGGATGGGAAGAAGAGAAAAGAAAAAGAGCCCTAAAAACAAGGGATCACCATCCTGATATATACACCAAAACACCACCATATTTAGTTTAGGAGATTCTGCTGGGATCCACAACAGCACAAGCAAAGCAATGGGAGTAACCTATGTCAAAACATAGATTGAATTGCAAGGACCCAAGCAATTTGCTAATTTAGAGCAAAAATGCCAAGTGCAGACATTTTAAAAAAATATTGAGAAGAGAGTCCTACTCCATCACACTGAATGTTTATAATTAAATAAGTGATGTTTAGGATTCCCTTGGAAGGAGGCTATGATGATGTCAGAGTCATCAGATAGATCGATCAGATGCTGGCCAAGCTTTGTTATTCCTAAGTACACTGCTCCACTGTGGCCTTCCTGAAATTTTGTTCGTGGGTTTCTGTCTCTTTCATCAGATGGTCAGCTCACTCTCCAGCATGCTTGCTCCTAGCACAAGAGATGGTCCTAATACTCAAATGCTTCTAAAACTACCCTGATGAAACCTGGCATTGATAATTCTGTCACTGGGAACCCATGTTTATGAGAATGTCCTGGCCAATACCACACCCTGCAGACCCACGTTGCAGACCTGGGTTTTTGGTGAGCACAGGAACACATGATTTGATCTGACTCATCAGCTGTCATCATTATACTGGTTTCAATCACTTAAATGTGTCATGATGAGAGGAGGCAATGGCCGTAGTTGTTGTTTTAGAAAACCTCTCAGGGTAAAACACCACAAAACCAGTGACAAACATGAGGTCACTGAGCCAACTCCTCCCCTTTCCTCTGCTGGGGGCTAAAAGACAACATGGACAAATCTTCAGCAGCTCTGACTTGGAGACTCTTCTTGTTTCTTGGGAAGATGAAGCTGCTCCTGCTCCTGTTGGCCTTCTTTCTGCTCCCCAGAGCAGAGGCAGGTGAGTGACCATCTCCACCCTCCGGAGGCCCAATCTTATTGCACAGAGCATATGAATCTCCTGTCCCTATGCAAAACCCCAAGAGCCTTCTGTCTGCCAGCATTGCTCTGAACCTGAACTCCAATCCCACCAGAGGGAATCAGGTATTACACTGTATAAGCTACCAGAGTTTGTTTTCAAGAAGAGACAGTGGGTAATGTACCCTCAGTAAGAGTCAGCTTGCACATCTAGAGAGTCTTTCTTCAAAGTTCATGCAGGTGAGAAGTAAAAAGAAGGAAATATCAAGTACTCCTAAACAGGGCAGAATAGGCCCGTCATCCCGGTCAGGGGAGGGGAAAGGCTTTGCATTCATAACTGCCTAGCAGAGATGCCCAGAGCTCCCCACAATGGATGGAATCTCTGTCCTCGGATCACAGTTTATGCCTCTCCTCACTGCTACTAACTTTGTCCAGCTCTGCTTTCCTCCTCCGGATTTCAGGGGCTTCTCTGTATTTCAGTAGGAGCCACAGAGGCAGACTCACACTTCTCTGCTTTCCTGAATTCCATCTGCACTGCTCTACTAACCATAAACTAACTGTAGCTGTTCCTTCATGCTGCCAGGGAACAGATCTGAGACACCCTCTACATGTCGGGCCTTAAAAAGAGGTTAAGACCTCACCTACAGTACACCTAGAGCCTGCCAGGATGAAGCATCATCATCCTAGACATCACAGGACTCAGAAGGATTTTATTTACTCAAGGGAAGTAAAAAGTTAGCAGAGGAATGAATAAAAGCTTCAGAGGTTTTATTTTCCCCCGATACATATAGTCATCTCCAATCAAACAGAGGAAAGTATTTGTAGAACAAGACTCAATTTCCTGCACATTGGAAAACAAGTTCACACATCTTCCTCTAGGTTCCTGTCCACTTCAAGGAACTGCAACCTCCCAAATGTCCAACTGTTCAGAGATTGTAAGATACTTGTTCAAGGACTCAGTGGCTGCACCAAGTCTTCTTGTTGTTTTCAGGAGAGATCATCGGGGGACATGAAGCCAAACCCCACTCCCACCCCTACATGGCTTACCTTAGGATCAGGCGTGAGAAATCTAGGAAAGTTTGTGGTGGCTTCCTGATTCAAGAGGACTTTGTGCTGACAGCTGCTCACTGTTTAAAGGGGTGAGAAAGGAAAAAGGGTTCACATTCTATAGAAAACCCTTCTCAGTACCTTTTTCTGGGGAGCTCGATGAGGTCATGGACATAACCATGAGGAGGACTGGGGAGAGTGAGAAAGGGTCATCATATCCCAAGGGCAGAGAAGCAAGTTGGCACCAATGTATTCCTGATATAAGGAAAACCAGGGCAATCAAACCTGATTACATGTAGACCCAGGACCATACTTTGGCATCATCAAGCAAAGTAAAACAGTTTCATGTCCTGTCCTGGAGGCACTGACCACTGAGAACCTCTGGTGCTTAAGGTGCCCTCCCTAGGTACTAAGAAGGAGGGACAGTCATTCAGCCGGGTAGCACTCTGTCCTCTACAGCTATACCTGTTTCAATTACGGCCTCCTTTTACAGATTCTGGGTTGTGTCTTTTGTAGCCCTACATCCACCAATCCACCTGCCTCTGTGTACAGCCAAATAAAGGTCACCTTGGGGGCCCACAACATCAAGGAACAAGAGGACACCCAGCAGGTCTTCCGTGTACAAAAGGCATTTCCCCACCAAGACTTTAATTGGGAAAAACGCATCAACGACATCATGCTACTGAAGGTAAAGCACATGTCTTTTGGCTCTTGCTTTCCTCAAAAAGGTTGCCACTTCTACTGGCACCCTGCCCCTGCCCTCTTTGCCATCATGTCCTCCACACTATGCGTACCCAGGAGCCATGCACTGAACTGGATTTCTTTACTTATTTTTGAGCAGCTGAAGAAAAAGGCCAAGCTGACTAATGCTGTGCAGCTCCTCAACCTGCCCAAGGGGATGACCCAGGTGAAGCGAGGTACCCAGTGCCAGGTGGCTGGATGGGGAGGATTGTCCCGAGAGGGAACGCATTCAAGAACACTGCAGGAAGTGGAGATGGTAGTGCAAAATGACAAGAAGTGTGAGAAACGCTTTAAAAAGTATGATCCTGCTACTGAGATTTGTGTGGGAGACCCAAAGATTACAAATACTTCCCTTAAGGTAAGAGGAGGCATCTGTCACAATTGGCTTTGTGGGAAAGAGTGTTTGGGACAGATCTAGTACCAGGAAACCCAAGCATCATGGATTCCTTCACCCCATAGTCTGTTTGTTATGTTTCTCCCAGAAAAGAGAAGAAGGGAGAAGCCTGAGCTGGGAGGTATTAAAGTCTAAAGCAGCTGCCACTTTACTAAGGGACCTCTGGAGAAGGAAACACCACTGAAAGCTTCACTTTGTAACACATTGCCTGAGCTCGTGGCACAGGCATGAGAAAACTGTTTCCCTGGTGTGCAGGAATTATAACCTCCTCTGAGTCGGCAGCCCTCTTGGTCAATGAGCTAATCATCTGTGCTCATTGTCAGACCTGATCATCAGCCTCCCTGGCCTGTAATGAGTGGTCCTCACAACTCTACAGGGGTGAGGTCCAGACCTGGGGATGAAGACAAAGGCTGGCTCCAAGAGTGAAAATGCCCATAGTCACAGCTCAGAAGCTAACAGCCTGTAGTTCCCTCTAATCTCTCACAAGCAGACCTTACAATCATTACTGCATGAGGGGGTTTGGAATAATGGAAATGAGAAGTTAAGTGGTGCACTGGTTCACAGATTCACTCTCTATTGACAGGGTGACTCCGGAGGCCCCCTGGTGTGTAATAATATGGCACAGGGCATTGTCTCCTATGCAGGAAAGAATAGAACAACACCAATTATCTTCACCAAAGTCTCATGGTTTCTAAGCTGGATTAAAAAAACCATGAAACAGAGCTGACTGCACACAGTAAAGTAAATCCCGTCTATGAGCAACCATCTTACCTGGAGTTGAGTCCAGAATCACTCTAGAGCAGATCCCAGCAACTAAATAAATGTTTCATCTCAGTGGAAGGCTAGTTTCTTGTATGCTCTCTTACTCTGGTTCATGGGGACCAACTCTGTGGTAAGCAGGACAATGACACAGTTCTGATGATTTCTGCCTCCTCCACTCCTTCTCCACTCAATACTTTTCCAAATCCCCTCTCAAAACTTTTAGCAAGCTCCGCCTTATACACTTTAGCTTCTCCACAGCCTCTCTTTTTGCAAGGGCTACAGTTAAGCACCAACTGAAGAAAAAGTGTACATCTTTCTCTCTAGGGCTCCAGTGGAACATGTGACTTCCTTTGTGTCACATGTATAGGGGAAGGGGATGATTTCATGGGTCCTGGAGTTCATCCAGACACCACTGAGGTCAAGACAAGACCCCATCAGGCTCGGTAGAGGAAGGGTATTCCTGAGCAGGACATTTCTCTCCCACAGCTTTAGGGATACACATGGAGTGCTGGTTAACCTGACTGACTCTTTACCTTCACCTGAAATTTGTTTCCTTCTTCATTCTGCTCTAAGACTAACCTTGGCTTATAGCCACCTGGCTGCCCATTTTTATCCCTCTGAGAGTTGTCACTGTCTACCAACTACTCTCCTTATGAGGCCACACTGATTTGATATTGTAACCTCTTCCAATCTCCCAATCCAGGTACAAAACCTGACTCTCTTCACAAGTTAATGAAACCTTGGTTCAGAACTGGGTGGTGGCATTTATTCGGCTTAACTATTGTTCTGACTGGACCCAGGAACACTTTGGTTCCCCACAACTACAGATATTGGTTTAACTTTTTATTCATGGCATGAATTTCACTGGAATTGGTAGACTGAAATTTATTTATTAGAATTCCAATAACTTTTCGTGGATTTACCAATATAATCTCCTCCTTACTGTGACAATACTGGAACAGTTTCTGTATTAGTGCATACAAAGTGCTAGGCCAGAGGCTGGGGATTAGTTCACCTGCCAAGGCACCTGCCAGGCAATCACAAGGTATTGAGCTCAGTCATAGTTAAAAAACAAAAAAATTGTGCCAGGCCTTAGGTTCTGTGATGAACAGAATCATAGATCCCAATGAAGCTGGTATGGTCAAAGACTTTCCAAATTAACTCCCTCTCCATCCTCCAGATTGCCCAATGAAGCCTGTGTGGAAAACCTGTGAAATAAAACATCTTATTTATATTTCTGCTTACAGTTTCTATCAACATTATCACATGATACTTCAAAACTGTATGAGATTTAAAAATGACCTTAGTCACACACTTTTCAGATATGAAGTTGCTAAATGATTCAAAAGAGGGCCCATAGGTGATAAGATAATGAAGCAGGCTTATTTTCATTTGTTTGAAAGGAAACAGATATAAATGTTATCATACGGAATCCAATGACAGGAAATGCACATATCCAGTCAACCTGCTGGAAACCATAATCCCTGTCAGCACTACAGTGCCCCCCTTTGAAGAATCAAACTTGAGTCTGGGAGGCCACCACAGAAGAAAATGAGGAGATATCTGTAATATTTAAGTCATCATGGTTACTGATACATCCATGATATCTAATATTATCCATGCTTCTCCTTGTTGAGAAGTTCATAGCCTAGAGAAAACAAAGTGCATGGCATTTTGTTGAACAAATGTGCTGTGGGTGCTTTTTTTACCTTGCTGAACATTCCCTCCACCTTGGGCTGCAGGGGCAGGTCACTAATATCCACACTGCTTGGCAGAATTTGGCTAAATCTTAATGCCTCTATGTCTCAAATACACAAAATACTACATTCTTTTGTGGCACAGAGTTAAATCTTACTCTGAGATCATGTAATTCTCAAAGGCATGCCTTCTCCCATCTGTTTACAGAGCATGCTACATCACGGTCTCATAATTAATTGTCTTGTGTAGCTTTACAAGGAAAAATCAGCTTCTGACTGGAGCCTGAAAACCAACATTCCTGCACCTAACACCTACTGAAGATCTGGCTCCTTCCTCAGGAAAAAAAAATAAAGAAAATCAATAAAGCAAAAAACCAAAAAATAATATTTTAGTAAGTTTTCCAGTCATATACATGAATACTCCCGGGTTCTATTTACTTTGGGGAAATGGGTTTGTAGTTTAAAACTCCTTTGAAAAGTATTCCTGTAGATTGGTCCCAATCCTACTCTAAAAAAATAAAAAGAAAGAGATTCCCAGTAAAAGATAGTGAGGACCAAAAGTAATGCAGAATTTAGGAGAGAGCTTGGACTGAGGTAGATTCCCTAACCATCAGCCTACCAGCAGCCCTGGCCTTGTAACTGTCAGTCCATATTTTAGCTCTATCGCCACAATCTTGAAATTTGCTGGTCTATTGGTCTTACTTCCTGAATAACAAGGCAGCTGTCATCTGCTTATGTGGGCCATGATGATAGGTAGATGATTGATCCTGATGTCTAAGGGAAGATAGGATTTGCTGAATTGACCCTTAGTGACAGTGAATGACAGTCAATGGAAGTCCATCACAGGGGTATCCTGACTGCACCAGGTTACCTTGCTAGGACAGCTGAGTTGAGATCTACCAATTTGTGACTTTTATTATCTACAAGGAAAGGTAATGGAAGTTTGCATTTTGACATAGAAGTGAAATCTTACCTCCATTCCACTTGACATACTGTCTAAGGTTTCTCATCCTCTTTTATCTACACATGAAGTTAGTAATAGGTATCTCCCACATTGGAGTTTTATATAACGTATCCACAGTAGCTGGTATATCCTCTAAAGCACAGTAAGAAATGAATGCATATAAATTCCCATTCCTTTCACCAAATACTAATTTTACTAATTTTCCCATGCCAGGATTTACTCAATCAAATGATACTTAAGTATTATTTCAACATTCATTTCTTGAAGATATTTATGTTGTTCTAAGAGTTGTTATGGTATATATATATATATATATATATATATATATATATATACACAATTTGGAATGATTAAGGCTGATCTGCATAACCAATAGTTTAATAATCATGATTTTTTATACTCAGAGCATCTGAAATTTGCACTTAGCAATTCTGAAATATGCACTAGTAAGTAAGATCAGTGTGATGTATACACACTACTAAGTATGATCAGTGTGATGTACAAATAGATATCAAAAATCTTATTTCACTTGTCTAGCTAAAACTTTGTGCCCTCTGAGCAACATCTCCAAATGTTCCTAAATCCCTAGCCTGTGACAACTACTATTATACTCTATATCTACAACTACAGTGCTTTTCAATTCTCCACGTAAGTAACAACTTATATTGTTCTTCTGTGCTTGGCTATTTGAGCTTGACATAATAGCCCCCTGGTATATCCAGGCTGTTGCAAATGACAAGATCTCTTTTTAATTTAGTTTGTATGAATATATATATATATATATATATATATATATATATATATATATGGTACTAAAACATACATATCACATTTTCTTTATTCAATCATTGATAGACACAAGTTGACTCTAGAGTCTTATGAATAATGTAGCAATAAAAATGGAAATTCAGGTAATTTCTTAGCACACTGATCTCTAGTCTTTCAAGGAACACTAGCATAGGATTCTTGGACAGAGTATAAGTGCCAATGACAACCCGATCTATTTAGGTGCAAAGCATGGAGCATGCTCTCCTCTCGTAGCAGTACATCCTCTTGAAGCCAGGGAATGTTGGGCTCAGCCAGAAGCTTCAGTCTTGGTCTTGCCTGAGATTCTGTTCTTCCACCTTTCACTGTCCACAATCTCAAGGTTTCCATTAGATTCCTAGTGGACTTATTTCTATATTATTCTTCCTAGGTCACTTTTGGATACTGGCTTATTTTCTACCCTATCCATAGAGGACAAAGAAGGCAGGACATGTCCAAAGAAAGCTTGGCCAGAGCATTACACTAGGCAGGCCACTGTCAGTTCTCAGAAAGACATATCTTGCTCCTAAGCTCAGAGCCCACCTTCTGAGAGGACACTCAGCACCCTGATTTCTTTCAGCCTGTCCTTTTTGGTCATTGCTAAGGGCACGGTCTCTGAGTTGGAACTCCATGATTGATTACCAGTCTGTAATGACCACTTAAGTGAGACTGACTACATCTACAACAGGACTAGAAATCACCATTCCCTCTTCCACTTATACATAGATAATTTTCATGTTATACTGTGTGTTAGACAGTAGATACACAGAAAATCAAACTTTTATGTAATTACTGTGGGTTCTCTCATTTTATATGCCACTTTTCCTGTGTGAGATTGTTGGTTTATATGTGGGTTTGAAAGCCACAAAAATCAAAATAGTCTTGCTCTGAAGACAATATTTATTTGATTCTAAGAGGTCAGCATTTGCTGGTCCCAGGATAGTCGTAGAGATAAATCAGGCAAGAAATCTCCCCAGAGCTCTCACTTCCATTTCGTGGCTATGCAAACAAAACTCTCCAAACTGGCCCAACAACCCTCATGAGCTCAGCATGCACTGAGACAAGAACGAATTCAATAGCTTCAACCCTGCTTCACCAATCCCAACATAGCAGCTGCTCTAAGACCATAGGTGCCTCCCCAGGTTGTAGCTACCTTTAGAATAACTACAAGATTTTTCTTCAGAAGGACTGAAAGCACCCATTTGTTATTCATCAGCAAATAGATATAAAGCAGGTGCCAGGTGCTGGAGGTTCAATAGCAAGCTTGGTGGGAGACGTCCAAACCTTCACAAACTTCAGCCATATAACAGTCTACCAATGCCTTGTTTCTTCACCCAGGGAATTTGGTTAGCATGAATCTGTCTGAGAAATCCACATAAATGAAAAATTTTAGGATAACAGCATTTATGTATCTTACACTAAAAATGTTCATGAGCATTGTCCCATTTTAAGTTAGTAGAGCAAATAGGGAATTAGAAAGACTGTGTAGATCTTCTGGTC